GAAAGTCTATATACTCATTATTTATATTTATTTTTATATATATAATTTTATATATTCATATATTATCATGTAGATACTTATATATATTTATATATATTTACACTACACATTTCTTCCTACAAAAAGATCGGTATATCTCCAGTTATCTAAACAAATATATAGGCTGAAAGTCTATATAGTTATTATTTATATATTATTATATACTTATATATTATATTGTAGCTATTTATATGTCTCTTTGTATATATTTACACCACACATTTCTTCCTTCAAAAAGATACATATATCTCCAATTATCTGAATAAATACATACGCTGAAAGTCTATATAGTTATTATTTACATATTATTATATATTTATATATTATTTTGCAGATATTTATATGTATATTTGTATATATTTACACCACACATTTCTTCCTTCAGAAAGATTTCTGTATCTCCAGCTATCTAAACAAATACATAGGTTGAAAGCATATATATTTATTATTGTTATTTCTTGATATTATTGCATTATATATAATATATATTTATATATTTTTATATATTTACACTACACATTTCTTCCTTCAAAAAGATATATATATCTCCAGTTATCTGAACAAAAACATTTGCTGAATGTATATATTTGTTTATTAATATTATTGTATATATTTAAATTTTATATTTATATATTTTATATATTTATACTACATATTTCTTCCTCCAAAAAGATACCTCCATATATCTCCAGTTATTTAAACAATTATATAGGCTGAAAGTTTATGTATTTATTATTTATATACATTTTTATATAATATTGTATATATTTATATAGTATCTTGTAGATATTTATAGATATATATTTATATATATTTATGCTATACATTTCTTCCTTCAAAAAGATACCTATATCTTCAGTTATCTAAACAAATATATAGGCTGAAAGTCCCAGACCTCCAGTTTTTCTTCTCATTCTGTTAGATAGGACTTGAATTTGCTGACATACTTTCATAACTAAAAATGATGTAAAGGATTGCTTTGTTAGATTATCTTACACTTAGAGCTTTTGACTTTTTCTGTGAAATTCTTATGCAGAACAGAATTTAAAATCCATAGATAAGCCTATTTCCTCCTTCTTTATAAAACTAAGAATCACGAATTTCGATGCACACAAAATGAAGTACATCAGAACACTTTTTCTTTTCAGCTACTTTTCTCTTTCAAACAGGCAAAAACCCACAGAAGTCACCTACAGAGCTGATCAGCAGAACAAAATAAAACAGTGAAAAATATTCTTCCTGAGCAATTGTTGCTGTCAAAATGTGGTTTAAACAAATTCTGGCTCCAGTTAACTGCAGTTCTCTGGTGGTTTGAGTGCTTTTAAAGCTTCATTAGAAAACACACGCTGTGAGAATATTTGTATCCAAATGTCTACAGCATACTATGGTAAATCCAGCCCTCAGCACGGATGAACAATTTCAAATAAGATTAAAAAAAAACAGCACGTATTTTAAAATAACATTTGAATATAAGTAAAACTTACACTAATTCACTTATGCATATTCAGCACCCAGAGCTGCAGTAAAAACAGACTGTGTCTCCTTACCCTTTCACAGATACATCAGCATGAGTTATGCTTATGTTTACTTCATATGGGGAGTTTTAAGATTTAAAAATTCATAAATCCATCACTGGTTTTATTTTCCATCCTGTTTAATAAGAAACCTCAATCTCGAATTTCCCAAGGAGGAAACGCTTTCACTGGAATCTTACAGAATTTTTTACTGCATAAACTATCAATTATTTTCCCACCAAACAAGCCAGGTTCATAGGGCAAAGTCAGAAGGAAGAGAAAGGAGGGGAATGTTTTTGTGGATTGTTATCTATAGACCAAATGGAAAAATCTTCAGCCATTTTGTTCCTTCAAGGTACATCAAAGAATCTCCTGTTTAAGGTGTGAAAATGTCAGTTACATTCTTCACCTCAGAAAATGAGCAGAGCTCTGAATGTGATTTATGTCCCACCCTTGCACTTTTCTCTTTTAGGAGCTGATACTCTTATTTTCAACTTCCCTCCAGCTAATGCCATTTAATACTCTCAGAACTATCAGGCTAAATTCAGATTTTCTGCTCCTCAGAGGCTGTTGTTATGCACCACAGCACATTCCAATTGCAAATACACACGAATGCTCCCATGTATTGTAAGTTATTTTTTACTCACAAATCCCGCTAAATTGTAAGTTAGGAGGCCTACTTGAATTCTCTTAGGTCTTTAGAAAGCTTTTAAATGTACCATCAGTAATAACATGTAATGAATATGAACTGATATTTCTTCTCTGTATTTACACTGAGTTGGCAATTTACATTTTCTAGATAGATGACTTACAGCCAGCCTTCCCTGTACTCTGGCAATTACTTCTTAGAAACCCCTGACAGGCTCAAACCTCCAGAATCAAATCTGTTATTCTTGGTTTGATCCCTCTTTTTAAAATTAACACCAGTAGCTTTATCAGCAAATGAGATTTTTTTTCCCCCCCTCTGGAAATACTTATAAAAGTGCACATAAATTGAACATGCCAACTTATCTCACGTTAGGGTTGGCACATCTCCTGGGTTAATGACCAGTGCTCCAATTCTGTGACAGAACTAATTGGGGTAAGGAGGCCGTAAATACACACAAAACCCCACAAATTCTCTTCCTTGGGGGTAATATGAAGATTTATAGGAATAGAGTAAACTGTGATTGGAGGGGAGAGAGTATAAAAATTTAGGAAGTCGTAAAATGCCTGTCTGATCATCCTGTCTCAGTTTCCAGGCACAGAACAAAATTAGAACAGATTTTACTAATATCTGATGGGACTTTTCCTTCCTCTGAAAGACAGGCTAAAATACAAAAAAAACTAGTAAATTTTCACATTTTCTAAAAACTGTCATTATTAAAAAAAAAAAAAGAGAAAATGCATGGACAGTACCACATTTCTGCTCTCAACACAGACTGGCTGATGGACTTAAAAAGCTTTATTGAAAATACAGCTCAACTCCACACCAAGAGGTGCTCAAGACATGATTTAACAACACTTTTTGGCAGCTAAACACAAATGAAGATCAAGAGAGAGAAGTCCTCACTTGGTTCGAGCTCAGTGTCAATTTCTAACAATCCAGCTTCATTTATCATGCATCACTAATGGGAAAAATCCAGTTATCAATGGATTATGGGAAAGATTAATTCAGGTTTGTCTTCCATGACTAGGTCAGGAGACATATGCCATTCACTTTTTACTGCTAAGACAACTCAGGGCCTTGATGTGACACCCCTTAATATTCCAGAGCAAACATTCTAAATCCATGTGCACACCTGCAAATTGAAAGAACTTCTAAATGCAGAATGCACTTCTAAATGTCTCTTCTGGAGACAAAAGGATGGCAGATTTCCATTATGGATTTGGGAAGGAAAGGAGAAGAAAAAAGAACATGATATATTACCAGTAAATATAAATGTAAATGTAAAGGTGCATCACATGGTTCTTTCCTGTGTTCTCCAGCAGTGCTGCAGGAAGCTGAGCTCAGTAATCTGATCTAAATAAATTTGTAAATATGCCTGCACTTCCTAACCCACGTCTGATGCACACACACAAAAGCAGCTGAACGCAATCCCAACCTCAGCAGCAAACCTTCCTCAGCTCCTCAGCCTGCAGCAAGCTTCAAACCCACCCCACTACCCAAGCCCTTACTTTAAACTGTCTTGAGGAGATGATTCCTAACCTGAATTAAGATCATCTTTCCCAATTTGCTGATATTGCAGGATTTAGGGCATTACTTTTTTTTTTTTTTTTTTTTTTTTTTTTAGCTAAGCAATGTCAGGCTGATTTTAACTAGTAGCTAAAGGCTATGACTTAAATTAAAAGATTAGCAGCTCAAGTCAAGAATGTGAGATACAGAGCTAGATCACAGTTTTCCAGCCAGCACTAATGCATACAATATGATCAAGAGAAAGCATTGTCAAAAGCATCAATGTGTGTGGTGTCACACCAACCACCAAGGTCTCCAGGCCACGACAACAAAGATGAGCTGAAAGGGAAAATTTCTAATCCATGTATAGGTTTGTCCCATTTCCCAGTTCAACCTCTCTCCTACTCTCACCTTTAAAGCAAGCCTGACATCAAAAATAAGTTATAAGCTCATAATAAGCCCTTCTTATAGGTGTGCATAAATTAGCATGTCGGTGCTTCTGCTGACAATTGAGAATTCCAAGCAACAGAATGATTATCACCATCACTCAAGTTCAGGTCTCTGCTAAAACCTGAGAGGACTGTGGCTGTTTTCAGCATGAGAATTTAGAACAAGTGCTACCCAAGGCTCCAGAGAAAGATGTCAGGCATCACAATTAAATGACATGTAGAAAACACAAGGCAGGGTCTCCTTAGCACAAAACTGGGCAGCAATCTTTCCTGCATGACACGCTTGACACATGGGTGGAATGAGACCAAAACCCGTTTGAAATTCTGTTATCACAACTTTACAAGCAAAAGAAAACAATGCCTAGAACTGCTCAAAAATAAGGCTTAAAGCACCTGCTGCCTTTTGCCCTTATGCTGTGTGGGTGTTAAATGCCACCACACTAATCTATTGGCACAGCAGATATAGATATAAATAAGTCAGCAGTATAGAATGTAATGGAATTTCCCTAATGCATTTCCCCTAAATGCCACCACAGTTCATCCAAAAGCACAGAGTTAGTATTGACTCCACAGTTTAGGTACGTTCAGCAGGTAGAACACAAATAGTTACAGCTCCTTTTGTCTTATTTCACACACTTGGCTAAATAGCGATTATCTATCCAAAAAAGAAAAGGGAAAAAAATTTTAAAAAAAAGAAAAGCAACTGTGTCAGAATGGTTACAGCTAAGTCTGATACTGTTCTGCAGGGCAATGCAACAAAGCAGCTTCATGCAGGTTCAACAGGAATGATTCCTGCTGGGGTTCAAGCAATAAACAGCAAAGAAAGTTTAAATTGAGACTTACCACGGGGCACCATATATTCGGAATCCTTTAACTGTTACCTCTGAATCTTGTAAGTAAATACTATTTGTCAGGAGTGACTGAACATTGTCAAAGTCCTCTGGTTTCAATTTGGACACAGAGGGAAAGCGGTAGTAATCTTGTTTAACAAGGTCTGCCATGAATTCCTTATCAAATGTCAGTTCATGATTCCCAGCAATCACTATTTTATATTCATATGGTAGGTTTCCTGAAATAACAAAAAAGAGGACTTCATTAGCACATTTCCTCCCACAACAAGCAGCCAGCCAGCAGTGACAGAGTGGGACACCCGAGGCCTGGAGCATCTCCGTGCTGGGCACAGGACACAGATGCTGCTCCTCCTCCACGCCCTGGAACAGGAATGGCACACAGAGCCATGCCACAGCAAAGAGCCCGTGCTGCAGGGCTCAGCAGCACCAGCTGGTGGAGTCAAACCAGCTCCAAAGGCGGCATCAAACACCACTGCTGGGTTATTCACCTCAGTGTGACCACAAGGCTTTAGTCCTCAGGAGTGACCTGCAGTGAGGAGCCAGGCAGGTGACCAGAGACTGCAGGATGCTGCCAGCCATGTCCTGAGAGCACCAGAGCAGACTGTGGGGGCTGGTGGGTTCTAAATTATGGCTTTATTTTGATTAATCTGTATTCCCGTGGCATTTACTTGTTGGAGCCCTTGCTGCTGAGAATTTCAGACTTTCTGTGCTGACAGGCACTGACCCTCAGGAGAACTCTGCATTTACCTGAGGCCGTGGAGAAGCTTCCAAAATGGAATGACAGGACTGGGATTGTGGGTGTGGAGTTTGAATAGAAGTGTGTAACATCACAGGGTAGAAAACTTAGAGTTTAAGATTTTAGAATATAGTAATATATAAAAAACAAAATGGAGGTGATAGGGCAGAGGCTGGTCCTTCTTCTCCACCTTCTTCTCCATGGGTTTGGATGGTTTTGTGCAATTGAATAAAAAAGTCCCCATTGCAGGCATGGGTGGTTGGCTATTGGGTTAAAAGTAACAATAATTTTGGTGTAATTTCTTAACCGGACAGTTTATCCTTAAAAGGCCTTGTAGAGAGGGAGATACAGCTCCATCAGGGTTGGTGAGGCTGTAGAATAGGAACTAATAAACCTCTGAGTCCCAACAAGAAATACCATCTCACACATTTAATCCTGACCTTGGCAGAAAAGAAGCAAAGAACCCATATTTATTCAAGACCTGGTCTATTCCCCAAAGCTTCAATTCATTTGCAAAGTCCTTCTATATTATTATTGTCGTTGTTGTTGTTACTATGTTTATAGCAGTATCTCAGTTCTTGTAAAAAGCTCACAAATAGGAGCAACCACAAAACTCAGCCACGTAAGACAAACTCGAAAAAGAAAATCATTTACCATCAGTGTCAGAAGGAAAGAATCGCATGTTTGCTCCCCTCAATTCAGGGGAACTAATACCGTTGTTTGGAAGGAGGCATGGATCATGCTCACAGAGCCAGATTTCTGGAGTTCAGAACAGATTTTCAAGCGCTTGGTACCAGCAATCAGTGCCAGATCTTCCAAATAAACATACTGGGTGCTGAGCTCCCTTAAAAATGCAGTCTTCACAGAAGTTAGGCTCTCTTACAAAATCTGTCCCCCTGCGACTTGCCAAAAATCACACGTAAGATTGCATCAAAGCTAACTGCTCCTGCCTTCACAACAAGCCTGATTTCTTAGCCTCATACCTTATCCTTCATTTTGGTGTTTATTATTAATAATTATTTAGAAATGGTTGGTTTTGTTATGAGGATTTCTGTGCAGTTTGTCCTTGTTTTTTCCATAAAGGCAGCAAAATTCATGTAGAAATCTGTAGGTTCATCTTCCAGTTCTGGAACCCATAACATCTGTCCCAGGGAAGATAGTATCTGTTATACATTTCTTGTGAGTACAGTTCTCCTAAATAGAATTGGCTTTCCTAGTTTAAAACTTATCTTCCAACTTTTGAAACTGTTTGGGTTTGGGTTCTTTTTTAAAGTGAGTCTCAGAGTAAAGCTGTAAATATATACAACAAGATTAACTTTTCCCCTAAATAGGACTTACAGGGGAACTAGTTAAAACCCTCTGATTTTCAGAATTATTTAATGTAATTCCTGATATTCAGTATCAGGAATTACATGTGTGCAAACATCATCTTTGCAAAATTAGTTAATTCTGGATGGAAAACCAAAAAGCTAGAAATCCCTTGAAAAAACCAGGCAGACTATGTTTTTCATAGATACCTCAGGTCTGAACAAAATACATATTCATAATGCTCTGTGGTGCTGCATTAGAATAAAAGCTGGGGAGATGCAATAAATGCTCCTCTACAGTTTTTTTTACTCACTCCTTTCCCACCTTCCTCCCCTTCCCCATCTCTCCTATGTGCTGCTCTGCGATGCATTTTTATTTAAAAACTTTCTGTGGCATGTAGCTACAATTCCTGCTCTCTGTGACTCCTGGGCACGAGATAAAACTGCTATTTTCTCTTCTCCCAGGAAACATAAAAGATATCACCAGCATGAAATTTGATACACTTGTCATAACCATCAATCCCCCAAAACAAGCTAGGTGTGATAATCTCAGAGAAGTGGGATGGAGAAGTCAAATTCAGTTTTCTGCTAAGTTATCAACATTTGCCTGCTTTAGCACAGAAAACTCTTCATCTTAATTGATACATGTCCAAGCTTTACACTTTCATTTATTTTGATAGACTTGAAAACCAGCACGTTTTGCTGATATTATGCCAAATTAAGCCTGGAGCATTTTTGCTTAATTTTTTTTTTTTTTAAATAAGGGCTTACTTTGAAGGCACACAGGACATGCAAAGGCAAACTAATGGTGACATCAGTAATTATTAAAACATAAAGGTAGCATTATAAAAGTTATATAAGCACCTGAAATCTGCAGGGGAAACCCAGACAGTATTTCTTGCAATCGGTGTGAAGACAGCTGCTGGTATTTTTAGGATTAAGACACATCAAAAGCCAGGGCAGCAGCAAGAGAAAGTCTCATTCTGTCCTTCTCTCTTCCTTGAGGAAAAAGACTACCTAGCACTAATCACAGTAATAAATTATTTGCAATCAGATCACCTATTTATTCATCACATTCTGGTTTTTCCTTCTTGAACAGCCCCTTGTGGCATTGCACATCCACTCTCCCTGATACCATTTCTGAAATATTTTGTTTTCTTTTGGCAGACCTGCCCTTTGTCTATAAGCTGTTGACCTTGTGTTTAATGTGGAAACATGAACAGCCATCTTCAAAAATCTGCTCCATGGCAATTTAGTTTTATCTTGACCAGATTAATCTCTTCGTATCCGCATCAGTGCTGCCTGAACAACACACAGGTGGAAAGGCTTTTCCTCATTTTCCTTCACTAAATCTTTGTTATCCACATTTGGTCTTTATTAGTCTGATTTCCTAACTATCAAATCTGCCATTATGCATCAGCAACATCATTCGTTCCAAATTTATATTGTGACTCTGGAAAACAATTAGAAGAATCCTTTTCCATACTAGAAAAAGTGGGATCTGTTTGCTGGGCCAAGCACTTCAGAAACCCCTGATATTAACTCCCAGCATAATAACTGACTTTATTTAAAATACTTAAATGCTTAACAGGTGAGATCAGAAGGCTAAAATTACAGCTACCAAAAATGACCAGGGCACTAAGTCTGTGAAGCAGAATCACTTATACTGGAATATTTGAAACCCATATTTATGTGTATATACATACACACAGGATCTATCTTCAAAATATATCTATTATTTTGGTTAAGATGTTTTTCAACAATTCTCAACAGTACCAGCAAGGGCACAGTATAATCATTGATCAAGAAAACACTGCAATTAGACATGTTGTTCTCTTCTGGAAGCCAAGAGGTCAACACACTCTTGCTCAAACAAAGGCAACAATGGTTATCTCTGAATTACTTGCAAAAATGGAATTGTTTACAGTAAATGCATTAATGTGGGAGTCTCAGAAAACTTCTGTGACTTCTGGTCTAACAAGTCAACCCTCAAGCTACAGTCCCAGGTACATTTGTCCCCCAGTGGCTCATCTTTACTCCTGTGCCATGACACCTTCCTGCCAACACAGATTTGGTGGGCACAGAGCAGAGGGGATCAGGACACTGATCCAGATGAAAAATGATGCGGCAAAAAAGGAATGGGGGTCTAAATACTGCTAAGGCAGAACTTCTATTGCTGGCTGCAACCACTTACACCACTCCAAGTGTCAACTGAACAACAGACTGACTTTAAATATATCTATTACATGGGGCAAGGGGGCAAGCTTGGGGGCTAAGGGGTTGTAGGGTCTTTTTAACCTAAGTTGTTTCAGTGGGTTTCTTTAAATTCACCTTAAGCACTTGAAACCTTGGAAGCCTTAATCTGTTGAAGAACCATTCCCATTTTAATAGCATGCTTCATGTGAGTACAGTTTAGTCACACAACCCAAGTTCTGTAGAGCTGCCAGACATGAAAAGGAGTGTGCCTGGCAGTGAACGCTAACTGCTGAGTCCCTATAAAAATAGAAAATAGCATTATTTTTCTGCTACTGTTACCTGCAAACCCCACAGGGAAGTAGGGGAATAAGAAATAATGTGATGCTAGCTGTCTGTACAGTGGTAGAAACCTGTATTTACACACAAATGATATGCAAGGGCTTTTGATGCGAAGCTCTGAATATGCATACGCATGCATTAACTATTCAAACCACACAACACTTCCATGAAACATGGAGCTTTTTTCATGCCTGTTTCATAGCCTCATAAACCCTTTGGCCATATGCTGAGAAAGAGGCTGAGAAGCCTTGAAGTCTGAATCTTAAAAAGAGGGAAAACTGTACAATAGAGAGATGTGCATGCAAGTGAATCATCTCAAATTTATGGTATTTTGTGTATGCCCCAAAAGTGCAAAACTGGTCATGGAGCATTCCCCTATAACCATCCCCATACATATCCAGGGATGAACACTGAAGGAGCAGATTTTGTGTGGCTTCTACAGACTTCAGTCCCCACAGCTGCAGCTGCTGAGGGCAACCAGCAGAGCCCAGCTCTGGACAGCAGCTCTGCAACTTCTTCCTAGAGAGGTTTCTTGTGGAAAGTCCTTGGCATCACAGGGCCATGGTCACTCTCTCTTCCCAGCATTTACAGCACAGCCCCAACACACAGAGGCTCTTTCAGCTTTTTAGAGCAAAGACAG